TGATGCAGCGAAACCTGGAGCCGGCCAGGAAAACTCGTCCGTCGCGCGCTGGTGTCGCCCGCCAGCGCGAAATATTGCAATTGCTTTGTCACATACGCAATTTCATCTTGTGAGCTAGGAATCCCCATCGCTAAGGTATACATCAACCCATTGCAGACCGCCGTAATACGTGTAATCCGAATCTTTTCATCTTCTTTTTCTACTAATCTGTAGTACTGGTTTCCAGTCAGTAGCTCCACCTACTACAAAGTATAGGTTTTTCATTTTTAGAAAAGTTTTTTCTGTTTTTCTGTGTACTTTGGAATATAAAGCACTAGCGAAGACATCAATTAACGATCCGTCTCCTTGTGAACGCGTGCCGCTTATGGTGCAGTCTTCGCTCAGCAATAAGTTGAAACAGGGAACTCCCGGCCGAACTGAACTTTTTGGAAAATACGATATCCCCTTTTACCCCTCCTCTACAACCTTCACGAGCGACGTGCCCTGGCTAAAGATAGGAAGGAAAACGTAAAAGCCGGATGTTTTCGCCTTCAATACTTATTCGAACGAGGTATACACTCTTTCCCGTTGTGAGAATGAGCTGCTCTCGTAGTAAACAGTCCTATGAGAGTCCCTTATCGCACACGCGAGAACATTCGAGCGGGATGGGAAAGAAGACGCTGCGCGAGCACCAGGACGCTATTTTGTCATGATGTCGTGAGAGGAGAGAGAGGGGGTGAGGCTTCAGAGGGTACTCCCCCCCCCCTGAACTATGATCAGGTTTCTAAGTAATTTAGATAGATATTAATTTTGAAGCACATGTTTCAGAAAACCAATCGTCAATAAATATTCTACGAAATTTGTCGAAGAAATGGTATCGAAGAAGAAGAAGAAAGAGCAAGAGGAGGAGGAAACTCAGGCAAGCAAACCTAGACCGTGAGTAGGCCGTCAACATGATACCTATGTCATCTTTGGCGCTGAATATACAGGGGGGCCAAAAAAAAAAGTCATTTTGCCTCCATGACTTTCAAGGCGCTATAAGTTACACTTTATTAAATTTTTATCGGACATTTTTACTACCATATTAAAGAGCACATTAAATACTATAATGATACTCCGCCACAGCCTTCTGGAGGAGCGCCATCGAGAGATTCGGCCGCGCGAAAGTGAGTGGGTACCGGAGTTGAGCGAAATCGTACCGTCCCGCTTTCTCCGCCACCCGTAGACACCCTATCGAACTCCGCTCGAACCGGCACGGTAATTGAGGGGATTGCAGCTCAGGCGGTGACGGGCATACTTCAATATTGCATCTTCTTCAGGTACGAAGCGCCCTTTCATTCGAAGTAGGAGAGAGTTTTTCCAAAACCCTTCGATTCCATGTGGTGGCACCAAAACCTGTAGCAGTACACGGTCTCCAAGAAGGTACGAGCGACAACATGTGGGGAGGATATTCTTCTCGAGTTACTTGATGTAACCGCCAGCGCTCACCTTCAGTCGGGGTCTACAAAGAAAATATCGGTCTTCCCCTTTCCAGGTACCCCGGTCCATACCATCAACTCGCGCCTCGGCGAATACGGTGAAGATGATGTCCTAGACCGTAGCGACGTTGCCGTAGCTGGTCGATGTGGGAGGTCTTGCAGATCAAGAGTACTGACCTCCAGGTAGCTATCTGTGGATGACTTCATTCAAGAAGTTTCGCAGCTGTTTGGAGGCGACGTGAATTCCAAAGGTGTTCCAGTCAGGCCGCGACTGGAGATGACTTCATATTTTGGCGTACATGAAGGCGATTGGCGGCAGCGTGCTCCAGCTTATAGAGGAAGATCTTGGGTATCTTCCACCCTGGTACTCATATCCACTTCCCCTGTCTGGGCTGCGAAAACTTCGTTGATATGTGGCTCGGCCGAAATGACTTTTTTTTGGCCCCCCTGTACATGAAGCAATGACAAAGCTGTAACCTCGTTTCAGCTTTATCGCCCATGCCGTTCCAATGTCGACTTACGTCTCTACTAATCCACGGGTATCTGATAAGGCCTATGTGGAGGTGATTTCCCGAATGTTCCGTTATATTTCAAGTCATTGAATGAGATTTGAGTTCAGGCGATTCGGAGAAGGCTTACGGCAACGATGCGCAAACATTTCGAACAAGAAGCTTTGAGGAGATGTAAGAGTCTGGGTGATCTGACCGGTGAGTTCGCTTCTAGCAACTCGATTTCAACAATTTTGACTTCAGCCTTCTTACCATTAGTCAGAGTTGTGCAGCTTCTTAGCACTTATCTCCATAGTGTTATCATCACAAAACAAAAGTACAATTTCGAAATTGTCAAGACACATTTGAAAGATTGATTGATCCATCTTTGGGAATCATCCCTTTTATTTCAAATTTCTCGGAACCTACTGATTAGTAGTTCGTTCAGTTCGACCTGTACCTATAACGACGTATGTAGCGCCATCAATACCCGATTACCGCCGCTCACGGAGCGCTCACCGACGAGCTGTGCAGCTTCTGGTTGAAGCGACGACACCGCCTATTCTCAGGGTAAGACTTTGGATATTTTTGCATTACAGTGTGGCTTGCGATTAAGTGACAGGTCAGCGCGCTAAGCCCAGCATAGGATCGTCAATTACTCGAAATCCCTTAGATGCGGTGGCTTCAATCAAACGTGGCGGTGGCTGTGCTTTTGGTGAGATATTTTCATTTTGACGCAATTGTGATCATGTCTCTGTCCAGCACAGAACAAGATGACAGTTGCCTCAAACTTAAGTATCCCACGAGTTACCCATTTGCCATGTTCAAATGCCACGCCTACTCCGTCTCAGAGATAAGGAGTGTAACTGGTTTCGCGAGACCTTCAGATAGCCCCTATGTGGGGCCATATGTTTAAAGCCCCACCCTCTCCCACTTAGTTTTGAGATTTTTGCCTCACACGAAAATCCCTCAGACGACTTCCCTGAAGAGTCCTAGGCAGTGCAATGTAAAATCTTGGTCGCGACATCACGCGCACTAACAGAG